GGCAATGTGCCAGATAAGAATAACCTCTTGAAATTCAGGAGGAAAGGACATGTCTTCGTCTGACTGGTCAATAGTGCGAGCAGCTTTCTCGTCCATGTCAGGCCGTGCCCCATCATAGTTGGAACCGGTGTGGGCATGCCTCCGTAGATAAACTCGCTCATAAGCTTCAGGAAGGGCTCGATCATACCTCCGGTGATCAGTCTGTTGCTCATACAGTTCAGGCAGGGCTTGACCGTACATGAAATTGGCGTGACCAAGGCTCCAGTGATCAACTTGCTCGGAGTGAATGGGCATTGACTGTGCAGCTTGCACATTTTGTTCCAGATCAACAGGAGTGAGTCTCATACCGACAGGGTCCTTCTGACTGGGGTCAGGCAGCCCAGGAGGATCATCTTCCATATTGTCGACAAACTGCACTGCAGGAGCAAAAAACTGTGTGCATACGTGTTTTAACTTCAGCTCCCTGACATAGTCTGGACTCCTAAGGCCGCTCGGCTGATCTTCCCATCCAATCTTCTTCAGCAGTCCAAATCTGCTGTATAGGGTGTCCCAGCCACGAGTGCACTCAGACAACATGTTGCGCCCCTGGAACTTGCCCTGCCACCTCCTGTAGCTTTTCGGTTCCTTTGCACATTCACATGTCCCCAACCACATGGAGAGCCGGGAAAGACCCAGAGGCACGACAAACCGGCGGAGATTCTCCCATCTCTCCAGGCACCAAAATTCATGCTTCAACCAATTGTTTTGCATATGTTTGAAGTATGAATGTGTCCAGGCTGACGTTACTGCACTGAGCAAGCATCTCACATCAAGGAGGAAGGTCGTCACCAACAATACATAACTGATAACTGTATCTTCCGTCTTCAAGGAGTTCTTCAAGTCCTCTTTGCACTGGAGGCCAAACAGCAGGAGCGCGATGGCGGTAAGGAATGGCGAGGCCAGACGGATGGTGTAGCCATGCCAGGTGTGGACTACGGCTGCCTTGGTGTAGAGGATGTCATACATAAGGGAGAGTTCCATCTCCACCACCTTGCACATACTCTCCCATCTACCAGAGAACATGCTTATGCCGGTTTTATGATGACGCAGGTCCACCGGATAATCGGAAAAGGCACCCTTGCAAATATCGAACAGGTCGTGAGCAACCAGCAGGGCTTTCTCATCTTCTAGCACCTGCTCCCTGCCTCCACCATAATCATCACCAAAGCTACTTGGGTGCTGCCGCTGTCGCTGCTGCTTGAATGACCTCCAGATGTAGCCCAAGTCGGCTCGCCATAGCGCCACCCCACTCTCTATATACTTGAAAATGCCCAAGAACAACATGATGCAGGAGGCCCAGCGCAACAATCCGGTACTATAGTCCGCAAGTATATACCTGCACATAAGGTAGATGGATCCCAAGGTTTGAAAGGGAACAACTATCGTTAGGCGCGCCGAGAGCCCACTGTCCCCCATGCTGTAGGCGCTGATGTTATCAGGGCGAGCGTTGTGTAGCAAGAGGAACGGCACCCAGAAGGCGAAGATCATCTTCTTGCGCGGCGAGGTTTCGATGTACAGGTTGCCCATGATATATGCTGGGGCCCAGTCGGTCAGCTGGTATGCCACCCACACCAACCCTCTCCTCAAACTTCTGCTTTTGCGCCGGCGGATGTCGGCGAAGACGACAAGGATAAGATGTGACGCTAAGCTGAGAAGCGCCACTGTCCGGTACATCCAGTTGCTCCACCCATCGACCGCCTGCTCTATCCATGGTCCCGCAAAAAAGCATGTACTAGCCATTAAGTGCTCCTGTCCTGCATGCACCGAAATTCAGATTAGCTATACTATATCAGTTTTTTTTT